CTGCTGGGCTCCGGCGATCCTTCCTCCTCAGCCTTCTGAGTAGCCGGAATTACAGGCATGTGCTACCACACCTGGCTGGTCTCGCTGCCCAGGCGAGTCTCGAACCCGCGGCTCAGGCAGTCCACTCACCTCAGCCTCCCAAAGGCGCGGGATTACAGGCTGAGCCACCAAGCCCAGCTTCTATACCATTTTATAATTCTGCATCTGGTATTTCAAAATTTCTGTTTGTTGATCATTGATTTTTTTTTTTTTTTTTTTAGTTCAAATACTAATTCAACTTAGTTAAAAGAATTGTATATCTGGATATTATTTTTTAAATAGTTCTATATGATTATATTATAAGTTTACTTATCCACACTCACATGGTTGGATATAAGTTGTTTATAATTTTTTTGCTCACTCTTTCTTACGTGGATAGGCTATGTATTGATAGATGGAGATGGAGAGTAGTGAGGACAGCTTCTGAGATAAGCATTATGAGAAAGTATGGGACATGGCCAAGAGTCTTCCTGTAGAGCCATTTGTGGGGAGAGAAAATAAATAATATGGTAAATAGTTTGGAGCTACATCAGATAAATATCACCTAAAGGATTGAGTTTTTATTCCGTAGGTCAAAGAAGGAGCCACATTTTAGGCCAATGAATCTAGTAATGCTGTATTTAGCTATTCATTCACTCACTGAACTACTGTATATTGAGCACCTACTATGAGCTAGCACTGTACTAGGTGCTGGGTATAAACTGTGGACATCATAAACAGGGTCCTTTCCCTGAAATAATTTACAACTAGTGTATAGGGTAGTGGAAGTGAGAAGAGGCAAGAGACCTGGCACAGCTTTCCCCTCAGTTTAACTAGTCCATGTTCTTTTACCCTTGGGAACTTATTTGGATTATCTTTCCTCTAAGGAAACCTTGCTTTTGGATCCAACCCTCAGTTGCTTTATTTTATTTTACTTATTTTTTTGAGTCAGAGTCTCACTCGACTCCCAGGCTGGAGTACAGTGGCACAATTACCCATGCCCAGCTAATTAATTTTTTTGTGGAGATGAACCTATGTTGCCTAGGTTCAAGCAGTGCTGGGCTCAAGCAGTCCTCTCTCTTCAGCCTTCCAAAGTGCTAGAATTATAGGTGTGAGCCCCCATGCCTGGCCTAGATGCATACTTTTTTAAAATCAAAGCATGTGTACTTGTAATTTTATGTTTGAATTATACATGGCAAATGTGGATATGTATAAAGTACATATTTTGATCAATCGAGAGACGACTCCCAATTGAAACTGTGTATATTCAGCTAGGCATGGCAGCTCATGCCTGTAATCCCAGCACTTTGGAAGACCAAGGCCACTGGATTTTGCTTAAAGACAGGAGTTTGTGACCAGCCTAGGCAATAAAGCAAGACCTCATCTCTTAAAAAAAACAAAATTTAAAAAACCGTGTATATGCTTTACTTAAAAACAGTGATTCCCATCTCAGAATCTTCTGGGAAAGTTTTTCAAATGATAAATGGTCCATATAGAAATTCTCAAATTCACTCTTGCATCTAGGTGATATAACCTAATCTCTGAGATGGGGTTGGGAGACAAGAGGGGAACAAGAGGAGAGTGTAGCTTGAAAACTTCCCAGAGAATTCTAAGTTAGGTGAGCCCTCACCCAGTTGACAATTACTGCCTTAGAAGTATAGGACTAACTCTATTTTAGTCAAAGCTATTTTGGTGATAATTCTTACATTTCCCTTTCATTGTATAATAACTGTTGGATAACTTAATTGGCCAACGCAACATGTGTACTATATTCCATCATTTTCCTTCCTGGATATGCAGAAAACGAGAGAAGGAAGTCTACTCATCAAAGAGTCCCCAGGGTGTTATAAGGTGCTCCTGCTAGCTGCAGAACTTGCTTATTAGCTGAAATTAATGCACATTAATGTTTTCTTATTGTTTGGGGATTGTGGGTATGTGTAACCTTTTTAAAAAAAGATTAAAAGCAAAAGAGTAACATTCCAAAGGTAAGTCTTATGAAGTTCTCTCGGTACAAGCAGGTCCTGAGTCTAGCCAGTTGTGAATTAGTGCACCTGCCAAAGGCTGGGTTTCAGAGGAAGAGTCGCTGGGGAAAAAAAGGGAGATTTTTACTGAACTTTCCACTCACCTCGCTTGTACTGATTCTGATTTCTTATTGGACCCTAGGGGTTAAGCAGGTCTCAGCTGTGGGCACTGAGGAGAAAGAACAGCCAAAACATTACTTATATGAGTTTGCCTTTTGTTCTAGTCAGGAATTAGTTAGTAGCACTATAGAAATATTTAGAAAGTGGTTCTTAAAAGAATATTTATTATTTTTTAAATGGCTTGGAAAACTGTACTCCCCAGCAAAGTGAAAAATGATGGCCACAGGTAGAATTACACTGGAGGAAAGGGAATCACATGGCTCACCCTCATTAATGTTAATGGATAGCATTACCCACAGACTAGTGGGAAAAAGAATCTGTTGTGAATTGAACTATTTTCAGTCCTGATGGTTGTTAAATTAAGATCTTCTCAAGAAGTCAGCTCAGATATACCACAGGGGAACTACCATCTGCTCTAAAATCGTGCTTTAGAGTAGATTCTCCAGGGTTCCTTCTAGCTTTCAGATGTTACATCAGTATGGAAAGTAATTTCTAGAAGGCCGATTCATTATCACAAAGCTTTCTACTGTTCTTGCAACTACAGCTTTCAAGCTCCCTGAACAGCGAAAAAAGTTAAACATGCATATGTGCATCTGCCCCCTTCTCTCTGTCTCCCTCCCCCCTCTCCCCCCACTTTCTTTCTCCTCTCTCTTTACTTCACTCCCTCCTCCTCCCCTTCCCCCTTCCCTCCCCCTTCCTCTCCTTCATCCCCTCCCTCTCCTTTTCCCTCTCCCTCCCTCTCTCCCCCATTTCTCCTTTCTTTCTATCCTTCCTCCTTGCTTTCTTTCCCTTCCTTTCCTCTCTTCCTTCTTTTTTCCCTCCTTATAATTATCCTAAGTATAGGAAACTCTAAACTGGAAGTGAGTTCTTTTTGAACAATTCTTTTTTTGTCTTTTTTTCCCTCATTATCAGGTGATGATTCATTAAAATTATGGGACATTCGACAATTTAATAAGCCACTTTTTTCAGCCTCGAGTCTTCCTACCATGTTCCCAATGTAAGTATCATATTTTAAATATTTGATCGGCATAAGAGAATGGAAAAGAAATTTTTTCACCTTTTTTTGAAAATTTTTAAAAATTATTATTTATCATAGAGATTTGGAGTACAATTCAGGGTTAGATATATAAACATTGATCATGCAGGTATCCTTGTTGATGAGTTATGCCCCTCCCTCCCCTAGGAGTTTCCCTCAACTGCCAGTCCCACCCCCACCTCCCCTGACAGTTTTCCACTACTGCCAATCACTTTCTTATAGCATTATAATTATTCAATGTCAGCTTATGAGTGAGAACATATGGAACTCAGTTCTTTGTTTCTGTGATAAATCACCGAGTATGATCGACTCCAAATCCATCCAAGTTGCTGCAGAATCCATGTATTTATCTTTCTTTATGGCTGCAGAGTATTCCATTGTGTGTATGTACCACGTTTTTTTTATTATCCAGTCCAGCTTCAGTGGACAACATGGTTGGTTCCATGTTTTTGCTATTGTGAATAGAGCTGCAATAAACATACATGTGCAGGTGTCTTTTTCGTAGAATAATTTGAGTTCCTCTGGGTATATTCCCAATACGGGAATTGCTGGGTCATATGGAAGGTCAATTTCTAGTTCTTTCAGAAATCACCACACTGTCTTTCAAAGAGGTTGTACTAGTTTGCATTCCTACCACCAGTGTAGAAGCATTCCTTTTTCTCCATATCCTCGCCAGCATCTGTTGTTGTTTGTTTTATTAATGATGGCCATTCTTACAGGGGTCAGGTGGTATCTCAATGTGGTTTTGATATGCATTTCTCTGATGATGAGTGGCTGAGCACTTTTTCATGTGTCGTTGACTGCCAGTGTATCTTCTTTTGAGAAGTGTCTATTCATGTCTTTTGCCCACTTTTTAAAGGGGCTGTTTGTTTTTTTCCTTTCGGCACATTTGAGTTCCTTGTAGATCCTAGATGTTAGGCCTTTGTCAGATATACAGTTGGCAAATATTTTTTCCCCATTCTGTGGGCTGTCTCCTTGCTATCTTGATAATAAACGTTCAAAAGACAGTTGCATTCCTGTACATCAATAACAAGCAGGCAGAGACCCAGATAAAAGACACAATCCCATTCACAATAGCCACCAAAAAAATGAAATACCTCAGCACCTTCCTAACCACAGAAGTGAAAGACCTTTACAGTGAGAATTACAAAACACTGCTCAAAGAAATCCAAGAAGACACAAACAAGTGGAAAAATATCCCATGCTCATGGATAGGAAGAATCAACATTGTTAAGATGTCCATCCTACCAAAGGCAATCTACAGATTTAATGCAATGCCCATTAAGTTACCAACATCATTCTTCTCAGACCTGGAAATGATGATACAGAAATTCATATGGAAACATAAATACCATAAATAGCCAAAGTAATCCTTAGCAAAAGAAACAAAGCAGGAGCTATCACACTTCCAGACTTCAAACTTTACTATAAGGCTACAGTAATCAAAACAGCCTGTTATTGGTACAAGAACAGGCACATAGACCAATGGAACAGGATAGAGATTCCAAAAGTAAAGCCTCAATTCCTCAACCAACTCATCTTTGACAAAGCCTCCAACAACAACCACTGGGGAGAGGAGAACCTATTCAGTAAATGGTGCTGGGAAACTGGTTGACCACATGCAGAAGATTGAAACAGGACCCCTACCTATCACCGTACACAAAAATTAACTCTAAATGGATCAAAGACCTAAATGTGAAACCTCAAACTATAAGAATCTTAGAAAGCATAGGAGACACCCTTATGGAAATTGGAAACGGGAACTAATTCCTATTCAGAACCCTAAAGACCAATATCTTAAGATTTCAGACAAGTGGGACCTTAGAGCTTCTGCAAAGCAAAATTTTTTCACCTTAATGTTAATTTATATCATTTGTCTTTTAGATCTTTGAGAAAAGAGCCTTCAGGAAGTGATTGAAATCTCTTTTTTGATACATAATCTTTTTTTTCTTTTGCATTCTTCAGATTATAAAAACTTTTTGAAATTAAAATGATGTATGTGCATGTACTGCTGTATTGTGTGTACATTGTGCACACATAAGTCTTGGGGTAGTAAAATATATTCTAAAATATTTAAATGTTCTTTTAATATTGTATAAATGATTGGGTAGGCCTGTGTATTTGTGGTCATTTAAATCGAACTCTTGCCGGGCTCGGTGGCTCAGCCTGTAATCCGCACCTTGGGAGGCTGAGGTGAGTGGACTGCCTGAGCCTGCAGGTTTGAGACCCGCCTGGGCAACTTGGTGAGACCTCATCTCTGCAACAAATCAAAAAAAATCAGCCGGGCATGGTAGCGCATGCCTGTAATTCCGGCTACTCAGAAGGCTGAGGCGGAAGGATCGCCGGAGCCCAGCAGGCTGAGGCTGCAGTGGCTGGGAGCGGCCACTGCACTCCAGTCTGGGTGACAGAGTGAGACTCCAACTCAAAAAATAAAATAAAATTGAACTCCTATACTATCTAAACAGTTTTTAATAGTTATTGAGCATTTTGATGTAGCTCATTTTCTAAGTTTTTTCTTATCATTCCATCAATAATTCAGCATTCTTCAGTTGTTCAGAGCATCTTTAACTCGGTAGCTGAACATTGTTGTCTCTATTCTACTAAACTGGCAACTGAAGCTTTCAAAGATTTTTTGAGGCAACTGAGGTGGGACTTGACCTCTAAATTCTATAGTTGATGCTTAGGGAAATTCTCTTTTGTTTTTGTTTTGTTTCGACCTGCTGGGCTCCAGCAATCCTTCTGCCTCAGCCTTCCAAGTAGCTGGAACTATGGCATGCACTACCATGCCCGTGTAGCCACTCTTAATGTCTATATTGAGCTTTTCCCATGCTCTCTTCACATTAAAAAATAGTATAATGTAATTAAAAATCACAGACTGCCTAAGTTGCAATCCTGGCTGCATCACTTACATGTGTTATCGTGGGCAAACACTTTGCTTCAATTTCCTTATCAGTAAAATGAGGATAATAATACCTACCTCATAGTCTTATTATGAAGGTTAGACAAATTAATATAAGTGCTTGATTAATAAATTCTATAGAAATTATCTCGTATTACTGTAATGTTTATGTTTTATTTAATTCACTCATTATTGCTGCACTACTTTGGAGATCCTAAGTTTATACTCATAAACTCTTTTTGTCTGTAGGACCGACTGCTGTTTCAGTCCAGATGATAAACTCATAGTCACTGGTACATCTGTTCAAAGGGGATGTGGCAGTGGCAAACTTGTTTTCTTTGAGCGGAGGACTTTCCAAAGGGTATATGAGATAGACATCACAGATGCGGTATGTATATTCTTTTCTCTACAGCCTTGAGAATAAAGTAAAGTTTGCATCTTACTCATCTTTTGTGTGGATTTTGTTTTTTAATAGAACATAGCCCTGGTCCTCACAGTACTATGGTAGCTGCTGCTTTCTCCAACACAGGAGTTCCCAGGACATTGTGGACTGGCTGATCTACCCTATCCCTTTCCCTGACCCAGTAGTTCCTGTGAGCCCACACTTAAGTCAGAATTTCAGCTAGGCCTGGGATGTTTCCTGCTTTTGACAACTATTTTGAGGAGGGAGGAAGTTTATTATCATGTTGGCTACAGACAGGAGGGTCCCACAATGTGCATGTTTGTGTGAGGATCCAGGGATTGTGGACTGGAATGAAAGTTTATGCCTTCAGAAAGGGATGTAATTATCATTGTTTTCTAAACCCTGAAAACTTGGACAGACAAGATTCTGCTCGTCAGAGTTGTAATCGTTAAGGTAAGGCTCAGCTTCCACTGAGCTTATTTTTGCTATTCACTTATTTGGAAGTTTAAAACATGTCAGATTTAACTTCTACCTCTTAAAAAAAAACTTAGTTTTCTTTGCAAGTTTATATGAACACTAAAACTCCAGCATTCACTCATTCATTCATTCATGTCCTGAGACTGGAGCCACATGTAATACAGTAATAGTAAGGATTCCCAGAGGAAAATTTGAATTCTTTTAAAGTATGTACTATTATTTAGGTGACAAGGTAAATTGTTGTAATTTTCTGAGTATGGAACAGGCCAATTAATGTCTGTGTAAATTTTCTTTGGCTCATTGTCAGATTTTTTAGCAATAGCCTATATCTTAAACAGTGCTCTTATATAGGTTTTTCCAGTTGTTTCAGCTCTTTGTAAACAGTTGAGATATATTATACACTTAAGTGACCTGGACAATTGAACAACTGTTTTTAAATCACCAGCAAAAAGCTCCTGTCTCTAATGTTCTGATATTACTATGAAGTCTTAATTTGTAGGCCCTAAATTTGAAACCATGGTATAAGTTAGACTATTATAAAGAAATGTGATAACAATGATACTAACTCTGGATGAGTACTTAGGTTTAATAGATTCTAATCTCATGACATAATTTGAAACGTACCAGCACTCATAATACTTATTTTGAGTGCATTCATGAGCCAATTAAAACACTAGAATCAAAGAAAAACAATCAACTCTATCAACTTTAATCTCAAAAAGTAAAATTATTATAATCGGTTATTCCAGAAGTAAGCTGTGTTCTGCTATATGTCTCAGCAACTGTACATTTCAATATCATTCTTGGTGTTGTATTTTTAAAGTGTAATTTAAATTGAAATGTAAATAAAGAAATATGGAATTATGACCCTACTTTTAAAGACATGCTGTGCTTCTGTAGTTTACGGGAAGAACATGCCGTTTGCTGGAAAAATCAGTGTTTGATAATGTGATGAATTTTTATTCTTTGAGTTACTTTTCTAGCTAGATCTTTTTCTTCATAGCACTTGTCACCATCTCATATATTGTATATTTGTTTGTTTTCATCTGTCTTCTTCCATTAGGAACTAAGTTGCACAAAGGCAGAAACTTTGTTTGTTCACTGTGATATCCTCAGTGCTTTGAACAATGCCTGGCATGTAGATAGCTCTTAATATTTATTGAATGAGTGAGTGGTATACTTGAGAAGTACAATTAATGCATACTGTAGATCATAGATGTATCTTTGGAGAGTGAGGCAGAAGAGAGTTATCTAGAGATAGAAAGGTAAACTAACCTTGTATATTATAAGAAGAAGTTGACTTTATCTTGTGTCTTTGAAAAAAAATTTAAAGCAGAGAAACGATACATTCAGATCTGAGTTTTGGAACAATTAATTGTTGTTGAAATGTAAAGATTAGATTTACAAGATTTGGTGAGCATTTGTAGATGAAGTCTGGGGTTTACAACTTGGGAGACTGAGTGAATGTTTACTGAGATAAAAAATATATTGAGAGAAAATAAGACAGATTTGTCGATAGGTTGAACTTGAAATACCTGTGAGACCTCAGTATGCAGATGGGTAAATAAGTTTGGTAATTAAGAGAAGGCACAGTTTTGGGGAAAGCATTTATAGTTCATCGTCTAAATGTTGGTGACTGAGAGTTTGATTAAGGAAAGGACATAAAGGATAGAAAAGATGAGTCCTGAGAAATATGAGCATTTAAGAGACAAGCAAGTGAAGACAGCCAATAAAGGAGAAGGTTCATTAAGTAAATAGAGTATATCATATTTTGAGTCATCTAAGAAATGTCAGAAAACAAATATTGGGATCAACTGTAATAGATGAATGAAGAGAAAACGTCAGATAGGAACCAAACCATACACCATAAAGCAGTCTTGTAAGTTGTTGATTTAGTGGGGGTGGAGAGCTATTTCTGCTAACACCAAACAGCATCATTTTTCTGTTTATATAGTAGAATGTTGTGTTTAAGGGGCTTTAAACTGTCTCTTTGACCTACTGTGTCTTGTTTTAAGTCTTCTTGGAACGTAAGAAAATAAACAAATACATTCCTTGAAAAGGATGCAGGGTAGATATTTTGCTAGAAGAGTCAAAAAAAACCACTTCTTTTATTTGATTGATTTTTGTCACTAAAAGCCAAAATTGTCATCATTCTTTGGAAATTCTACACTGTGCTTTAGTAAGGTACGTTCTGTATGGAGTTTTAATTTGTATAAAAAGTAGCATCTCGTATTCTTAATATCAGCAGTTGATAGTGTACTTGTTTGACTAAGGCACAGGCAGTGAAGGCATTATGTCTATTCCAGATGTATCCATTTACCTTAATAAATTATGATTAGGTACATTCTTCCCACACCCTCTTCTAAAACAGAATAAACCTCTAAATGTTATATTCTAGAACACCAGTTCTACATACATATGTGGAATCAAACATTGTTTTCAGATTGTATAGATGGTTAGCAACTTATATATAGATTGTTCAAAACTTAATTATGTTTAGACTACAGCTATACAATTAATTTCCTATTAATTAAAACCTAACCTATAATCTTCACAAAAAGTAACTCTTAAAAATAGTGCAACTCTGTGGAAAGCAGTGTGGCGATTCCTAAAAGCTCTAAATATCGACTTCCCATATGACCCCACAATCTCCCTACTGGGACTATACCCTGAAGAACTCAAATCACTCTATCAAAAAGATACCTGCACATGAATGTTTATCACAGGATTGTTCACAATAGCAAGAACCTGGAACCAGCCATGCTGTCCATTAAAAGAGGACTGGATTTAAAAAATGTAGTACATATACACAATGGAATACTTACTACGCAGCCATAAAAAAGAACAAAATCATGAATTTCGCAGCAACCTGGATGGAACTAGAATCTGTAATACTGAATGATCTTTCACAGCAACAAAGATCTGAGTATCGCATGTTCTCACTCATAAGTGGACCTTGAACATCTATTGTAATACTATAAGAAAAGGACTGACAGTGGTGGGAAACTATGGGGGGGATAGGAAGGGGAAGGGAGGTGGGACTAACGGTAGTCAATATCTGTCTGGGGACGGGAGGGGGACACCCCTTATCAACAAGGGTACCTGAACGATGCATATTTTTATACCTAACCCTTAACTGTACCCCACAACTTTAAAATAAAAAATATGTTTAATTAAAAAAAAGAAAAAATATAGCACATGCTTTTTTTCACAATTATTTTTGTAAGAAACTTAAAAAAAAAAATCCAAAACCTTATTTTAATTCTATTCTCATTGTCATAGTCCTTGAAAATTTTTCTTTCTCTATTCTGCGTAGAGAACTTCCACTTTCTTTACCAGGAAATGATAAATTTTTCTTTAGTATTTACTGTATTCACTGTATGATGTTTGTATACATTTTACAATTCTACTAAAGTTATTTTTAGATACTTCCCTTGTAGTCCAATTGGGTTTTCTCAAATTAAACACACATACACTCACACCTTCTCAGTCTTCATTATCTAATTCTTTGTGATATGAGTAGTGTGCTTGGCCTCTTTTCTAAGGTGAATCCCAGAACAAAACTTGAATCTTGAGTTTACAAACTCATTTTTGTTTTTGTGTAAGATAGCACCTTATGCTTTTTGTATATTGTGTAAAAGGCTTCCATTGCTCTATTTTATGCAATAAAAGCATAAGACAGAATGAATAAAATATAATTTGGAGATGACATCAATTTTTTAAAACAATTATATTTAGAAGAAATTATTTAGGGAAATTCTCTGAAATAACAAAATATTATTAGCTTAGTCTTTTTTAATCAAATTGTAATTTACTGTGAAATGACTAATAGAATTTTTTTTTTGACTAATCAAGGCAAACGATTTATGCAGTTGTACTGGCACATTACTTTTTTATACTTTTTAACTTAAGTATGGTTAATCAAGTTGTTTTGACCTGGTATCCTTTAATGGCCTCTGCATTTCATTTTCTTTTGTCAATAATTTGAAACATAGAAAGCATTCCCCTAGTTACAAAGAGAAAAAGTGGAAAGGAAAAAAGACAGAAGTGTCACACCTGAGCCTAACTTCTTCTCTAATTTGTTTGTTTACTTAGGCACGTAGGTGAAGGGCCTCTGTCCTTCTGTAAATTCTGGCTGGAGACCAGGCGTGGTGGCTCAGCCTGTAATCCCAGCGCTTTGGAAGGCTGAGGTGGATGGATTGCCTGAGCCCGCGGGTTCCAGACCCGCCTGGGCAACTTGGTGAGACCTCATCTCTACGATGTTTCAAAAATTAGCCAGGCATGGTAGTGCGCACCTGTAGTTCCAGCTACTTGGAAGGCTGAGGCAGAAGGATGGCCGGAGCCCAGCAGGTCAAGGCTGCGGTGGCCGGTGCGGCCACTGCACTCCAGACTGGGTGACAGAGTGAGACTCTAACTAAACAAACAAACAACAACAACAACAAAAAAAAAAAAAACTGGCCGAACAAAACGAGGATAGGAAAGTAGAAAACCTAAATTTTTATTGTTGA